TTCTTCTTCTTCTTCTTCTTCTTGTTTTTCTAACACAAAGCCTGGTAGTACTAACAATAACAATAATAATAATAATTATTATTATTATTATTTCTAACACAAAGCTGGATATAATAATAATAATAATAACAATAATATTAATAAAAATTACTTATTAGTAGTAGTTAGTTAGTAGTAGATTGTTTCCTATGATATTTTTGAGCATCTTTTTTTTCTTATAAAATTATCTGTGGGCAGAAAATTATCGTTGTTGTTGTTGTTATTTCTAACACATAGCTGGATGATGATGATGATAATAATAATAATAATAATAATTAGTTAGTTAGTTCCCTTGGATATTTTTGAGACATTTGTTTTACTTATAAAATTTTGTGTGCAGAAAATTATTATTATTGTTGTTGTTGTTGTTGTTGTTGTTGTTGTTGTTTCTGACACAAAGCTGGATGATGATGATGATGATGATGATGATGATGATGATAATAATAGTTAGTTAGTTAGAAGATTGTTTCCTAGGATATTTTTGAGCATCTATTTTTCTTATAAAATTACCTCGGTGCAGAAAACTATTATTATTTTTATTATTATTAAGATAATAAGATTAAAGGGATAGTTCACCCAAAAATGAAAATCCTGTCATTAATTACTCACCCTCATGTCGTTTCAAACCCGTAAGACCTTCGTTCATCTTCAGAACACAAATGAAGATATTTTTGATGGAATCTGAGAGCTGTCTGACCCTCCATAGACAGCAACGCAACTGAAATGTTCCCAAGTCCAGAAACGTAGCAAGGAGATCTGTAAAATAATCCATGTGACATCAGTGGTTCATCCGCAATTATACGAAGCTACAAGAATACTTTTCGTGCGCAAAAGAAAAAAAAAAGACTTTATTCAACAATTCGTCTCCTCCGCATCACCCTGGTGCCATTTTGGAGAATATCCGCTGGACGTAAACAGCGTATGCTGTTCTGTGTCAGCTGCGTCACGCGGATACGCTATTTCCGTTCAGATCAAATCACAACAACGTAGGAAACAGATCCGGCATGACGCAGCTTACAGGAGGTGAAGAAGAAGTCAAAGAAGTTTACTTTGGTTTATTGGCGAGTTAAAGCATGTGCAGTGTTCTGAGTGAGCAGCAGGGGGCGTGCTGTGGCTGTACTCCACGTGAGTGTTAGAGCAGTGGTTCCCAACACTGCACATTTTGTCTCCTTTCTCTGACACACCAATTTCAGGTCTTGAAGTCTCTACTAATGAGCTGGTGACCTGAATCAGGTGTGTTTGATTAAGGAGACATGCAAACGTGCAGTGTTGGGGTGCCTCCAGGACCAGGGTTGGGAACCACTGTGTTAGAGGGTCGCATGTGACATCAGTAATTGGGGGTGATTGGGTTCATCTCACAGTCTTGTTTATCTCTCTTCTGTCCTCCTGATCTGATTGTTCCTTTTTCTTCTTCATTCTGTCTCCTTAAATACAGTAGTCTATGTCATCAAGCCGACACATAAGTAGATTTGCCAGAACCCGCTTAACTGCCTTTTTTCTTCCATTTACATTGCAAAGAGAGATCAATTATTATTTTACCATCATGCCCTTGGCTCCATTCATAACACTATTTATTCAGTCCGCCTGGTTTTATTGTTAATTATGACAAAGGTCTATTGTGCAAACTAAGAGAATATTTAGCTCAGAATTATTCAACAGCCTATCATCATGTAATTATTCAGATTTAAAGTGCTTTATTAAAAATGTATTTACCAAGAGTATATCATGGAAAACAGGATTTTCGCTGTAGCTTTTTTTTAGATTTATCTTCATCCCTAGTTCACTTTTATGAAAACAACAGCTTAATAAATTGTTATGGTTATGGACACCACAATCATTAGCATATGACTACCCACATTTCTACATCAATGTTAATTTGTCAGTCTATATCTTATTATGTGAGTATGGTATAAACACGGACATCCAATTAAAATAGTCAACATATTAAAATAAATAAATGCATAATCTTCAAAATGAATACCAGATATAACAGTGTTATGTCGTTGACTACAGGGGAAACACGAGAGGACAGGACATTTAGAAACTGGATGAATTCTCTGGGAGTTGGTCCACATGTCAATCACCTGTACAGGTAACAAAGCCATTTTTTGCCATAGTTTTCTACAGTGACAACTGAAACATAAGGACTAATCTTGGCCCTGGAATGAAAAGCTAAAAACAATATAAACCAATAGGGAACAACAACAAAAAAAAATCACAAAATATAATACTTTTATTTTATTTTATTACTTTTTATTCATAACTGAATGATGGATCTGCAGGGAGGCGGTGAGATTGGCATAATGTGGTGTTATATACAAAATATTGTCTTTACAGTTGTTATTAGTAGTTCTTTCTAAGGCAAGCATCACTATTGATAATGCTTAAACTTCCCAAAGTATTCAATTTGGGCATATACTGTAACTTGTGCATACATTTAGATTTATATTACTTAATTTAGCTGACCTTTTTTTTTTCTTTGGTAGTACTGTAGGAAATAAATCCTAGCAGTTCATTACCGGGACGTTATCCAGTCATTTTATGGGCATTTCCATTAACTCTAAAGTACAATCAGATGCAAGTGTAATATTCCAAATTGCAGTAAAACACCATTTGAATTCCTTCAAACTACCACAGTACATTGCACCCTTTTTTATTTTTAGCAGTGTAGTAGTAGATTAAACAGGAGTTATTGTTATATAAATAGAGAGATGAAAAGGAGAGGCTGGAAATTTTTTTGGGCTGTAATCATATAACAATATTGTACCATTTGTGCTATAGATATGAATAAAATCACAGATCATACTGTTTATCACAAGAAAGGTGGACTATCACTTACTTTTTCAACTATTAAGTGATGATACATACAGTTTTCATCTGGTGAATGATATAACAGGCAGATATAATATAGTGTTATGAAGAAACTTCCTGACAAATCAGTGGTGGTCTGCACCTTTAAACACAACTCATTGTCTTTACTTGAGCATATTATAACCAAAAGAGTGAAGTTCATCATTACCGTCTTCTTCTCCAGTGATCTGCACGATGGTCTCGTCATTCTTCAGCTGTATGAGAGAATCCAGGTTCCTGTTAACTGGACTAGAGTCAATAAACCTCCCTATTCAATACTGGGATCCAACATGAAGAAGGTTTGTATTGAAGTTTTATATTTGAGTTAAAAAAAAAAAAAGTACAAGAAGCTACTGAATGAGTTAAACAACTGGCTCACTTTCCAGTCAGATTTTAAAAAATTTTTTACATCACATTAATAATCGGTCAAAAATATGTTTGTTTCTGACAACAAATTAAATACGGCTGTATTGCAACATGTTGAATTTGTGTCCCTGCTGAAATGATTTCCACAGCTGCCTCAGGGTACCGGCTAGCTGCGTTCAGAATTCAAAATGCATGCTTTATTCATCAAAAATGCTATTTATGTATGGAGACCTGCAGTTGTTAGGGTTGAATTATACATGTCATGTTAATTTGGTTGACATATGTTTTGTTTTGTAGCTTGAGAATTGTAATTATGCGGTCGCACTGGCCAAAAAGGAAGCAAAGTTTTCCTTAGTAGGAATCGGTGGTGAGAATATCAATGAAGGAAGCTCCATGCACACCCTTGCATTGGTCTGGCAGCTAATGAGAAGGTATAATATTTTTACAGTATAGGTTTCAACACAGTCTCATGGCAATTTGTAACTATTTTACATTTTGCCGAATTTGTGGAAAATTCATATGAATTTGTATGAATCGAATACTTGCTTTCTCGCCACTGAGTGTTTCTTTTAGAGGTGGACCTTTATTTCTATTTTTATTATATGTGTGTGTGTGTGTGTATGGATCTGCAGGGAGGCGGTGAGATTGGCATAATGTGGTGTTATATACAAAATATTGTCTTTACAGTTGTTATTAGTAGTTCTTTCTAAGGCAAGCATCACTATTGATAATGCTTAAACTTCCCAAAGTATTCAATTTGGGCATATACTGTAACTTGTGCATACATTTAGATTTATATTACTTAATTTAGCTGACCTTTTTTTTTTCTTTGGTAGTACTGTAGGAAATAAATCCTAGCAGTTCATTACCGGGACGTTATCCAGTCATTTTATGGGCATTTCCATTAACTCTAAAGTACAATCAGATGCAAGTGTAATATTCCAAATTGCAGTAAAACACCATTTGAATTCCTTCAAACTACCACAGTACATTGCACCCTTTTTTTATTTTAGCAGTGTAGTAGTAGATTAAACAGGAGTTATTGTTATATAAATAGAGAGATGAAAAGGAGTGGCTGGAATTTTTGGGGGCTGTAATCATATAACAATATTGTACCATTTGTGCTATAGATATGAATAAAATCACAGATCATACTGTTTATCACAAGAAAGGTGGACTATCACTTACTTTTTCAACTATTAAGTGATGATACATACAGTTTTCATCTGGTGAATGATATAACAGGCAGATATAATATAGTGTTATGAAGAAACTTCCTGACAAATCAGTGGTGGTCTGCACCTTTAAACACAACTCATTGTCTTTACTTGAGCATATTATAACCAAAAGAGTGAAGTTCATCATTACCGTCTTCTTCTCCAGTGATCTGCACGATGGTCTCGTCATTCTTCAGCTGTATGAGAGAATCCAGGTTCCTGTTAACTGGACTAGAGTCAATAAACCTCCCTATTCAATACTGGGATCCAACATGAAGAAGGTTTGTATTGAAGTTTTATATTTGAGTTAAAAAAAAAAAAAGTACAAGAAGCTACTGAATGAGTTAAACAACTGGCTCACTTTCCAGTCAGATTTTAAAAAATTTTTTACATCACATTAATAATCGGTCAAAAATATGTTTGTTTCTGACAACAAATTAAATACGGCTGTATTGCAACATGTTGAATTTGTGTCCCTGCTGAAATGATTTCCACAGCTGCCTCAGGGTACCGGCTAGCTGCGTTCAGAATTCAAAATGCATGCTTTATTCATCAAAAATGCTATTTATGTATGGAGACCTGCAGTTGTTAGGGTTGAATTATACATGTCATGTTAATTTGGTTGACATATGTTTTGTTTTGTAGCTTGAGAATTGTAATTATGCGGTCGCACTGGCCAAAAAGGAAGCAAAGTTTTCCTTAGTAGGAATCGGTGGTGAGAATATCAATGAAGGAAGCTCCATGCACACCCTTGCATTGGTCTGGCAGCTAATGAGAAGGTATAATATTTTTACAGTATAGGTTTCAACACAGTCTCATGGCAATTTGTAACTATTTTACATTTTGCCGAATTTGTGGAAAATTCATATGAATTTGTATGAATCGAATACTTGCTTTCTCGCCACTGAGTGTTTCTTTTAGAGGTGGACCTTTATTTCTATTTTTATTATATGTGTGTGTGTGTGTGTGTGTGTAAATTTTTGTACAATTCATTTTACTTGTTAAATAAATAAAATTACAGCTTGACCCATATGGCAAATAAAAATGTCCAAAACAAATATATAATACACATCTTGTAAACAGATTGAATTTCAAATGAAAATATATTTCATGATCCTTCAAATGTAAAATATATTACAAAATATACTTCAAAAGGGCAAGGAAATACAAAATTACAATTAATATAAATATATAAATGATTCTAATATGCTGATTTGCTGCTCAAGAAACATTTCTTATCAAGGTAGAAATAAGTTGTGCTGCTTAATATTTTTATTGAAGCGGCAATACATTTTTTCCCAGGATTCTTTGATGAATAGAAAGTTCAGAAGAACAGCATTTATTTGTTATAAAATGTCCTTTGTAAAAAAAAAATTTGGTTAATTTGATGCATCCCTACTGAATAAAAGTATTAACTTATAAAAAAATAAAAATAAAAATAAATATATATATATATATATATATATATATAAACTACATATATGACAGATATAAACTATATATATATATATATATGCCATATGGGGATGGTCATGTTATGGTCACATCTATTTTTGTTGAATATTCGTGACATTAATTTTTTTGTCAGTTAATTACAATGAATACCTCCCGCAGGTACACACTGAAGGTTCTGTCTGACATCGGTGACGGGGAAAAAGTCAGTGACCAAGTTATCATCGACTGGGTGAACAACACCTTGAAACAAGGCCAGAAAGACTCGTATATTAACAGCTTCAAGGTGAATCCCATTCACTATCAATGAATTCAATATCAAACATGCCCAAGTTGAAATGTTTTTCACTTAAACCTTCTATGTAATGTATCATTCCAGGATAAATCAATCAGCACTAGCCTGCCAGTGATTGATCTGATCGACACCATCATGCCCAAAGCCATCAAATACGAGATGGTGAAGACCGGAGAGCTGACGCCAGAGGACAAGCTAAACAATGCAAAGTAAGTTCCCCCCACGGCTCCTCATAAATTACCCTGATACACATCTGACGACAAATTGCCTGTTGTCTCGCCACCAGCAACCTTATCCGTATCTCTGCTTCCCACTCGCAGATATGCAATCTCAATGGCGCGAAAAATCGGAGTCAGGGTGTACGCCCTGCCCGATGACCTTGTGGAGGTCAACCCCAAGATGGTGATGACGGTGTTTGCATGCCTTATGGGAAGAAGCTTGAAGAAAGTAGATGGCTGACCTTTCTTGAAGGACACTGTCAGAAAGCACAACCCTCACCTTGCACTTTTTCTTCTCCTGACTTCCCTTCTGCCTCATTCACCGAAACGTTCATGCATTTGTTTTTGAAATATTTCTTTATGAATATTTCATCTTTGATTAATTGACCTCCTATTAATTACATTTCACAAATGGTTTTATTTCTCCTAGCTAATATGCTACATGTAGATTATTCAAAGTTGATGTTATTTTCTTAAAGGAACAGTTCGTCCAAAACTGAAAATGTACTCACCCTCAGGCCATCCAAGATGTAGATGAGTTTGTTTCTTCATCAGAACAGATTTGGAGAAATGTAGCATTACATCGCTTGCTCACCAATGGATCCTCTGCAGTGAATGGGTGCCGTCAGAATGAGAGTCCAAACAGCTGATAAAAACACTGCAACAATCTACAAGTAATCATTCAAGCGAAAAGCTGCATATGATCTACACTGTAAAAAAAATTCCGTAAAATATATGGTAAAAAAACGGCAGCTGTGGTTGCCGGAATTTTACCGAAAAAAAAAATGGTAGCAACGTTTTAGGTTTCACGGTTTTAACTTAAATTTACAGTTAAATACCGTAATTTCATTAACTGATATAATGTTAATATACCAACCTATTGAAGTACTGAAATCTGTTTTGTACATTTGTAATACACTGATAACCACCAAATGCAGGAGGTGATGAGAAAGTCACATGATGAACCAAAGCCCATCACAAGCAGCTTTTAAATAATAACAAATATAGAAGGTGCATATAGATATGAGCATATGTCTCTCCTGATTATGACGAGATGACTTTTAATATTAGAGATTTAGGACTCATGTTTTCAGTTTACAAGTTTCAAGTCTTGATGGATTTGTTTGTGGATTACTTACTTGTGGATTATTGTGATGTTTTATCAGCTGTTTGGACTCTCATTCTGATGGCACCCATTCACTGCAGAGCATCCATTGGTGAGCAAGCGATGTAATGCTACATTTCTCCAAATCTGTTCCAATGACGAAACAAACTCATCTGCATCTTAGAAGGCCTGAAGGAGACGGAATCTCAAGGAAATTTGGATTTCTGTGTGAACTATTCCTTAATAATTGTGAATAATTGTTTTAATTTATTCGTTGACTCATTAAAATGATTTTTTCAGTTGAGCCAGATTGTAAATAGTTGGATATTTTTACATTACGTAAATAAAGGTGCCCACAAGAAATATTTGAGCCATGTAGATATCTGCACATTCATTCAATGTGTTATTTAATCAGGCTTAGATGCAGCTGGCAACCTGTTTTGGCTTACAGACCCACATTTTGGATGTCAATCTAAACAATATTTGCTCATCCAGAGAAGTGTATTGTAATCCAGAGGAGGATATTATACAGTGAAATGCGAGTCGAAAGCAGAACAAATGCCAAAATCTCAATCTTTTCAAGCCATTTCAGCTCTCCAAATAGACAGAAATAATAATTAAACCAGCATCCACATCATTTAACAGTGGCCAGAAATGTATTTATTAAAGCAAACACTTTCCTGGACTCTGTCTCCTATTTACATTCATCACTGCCACTGTCGAGTGAGTCCAGCTCTCCTCTAGAGAGAGTTTCTCTCAGTGTCATTGTGAAATTCCAGATGTGTTTGAGTTTCTGGGATAATTTCAGCCGAGCTGAGTGTTCCCCTTTGACAACTGTACCATCACGTAGAGCTACGCTCGATTTCACCCAGGAGAATACTGGAAACCCCCTCTGGGCACAGTGGATTCACTTAACAATGTGCCTCATTCTCTCTACTGCATTATATTACTGTAGAGAACCACTAGCAGATCTCAGTATTTAAATGAGTTTGCTGCCCAGTTCCAACACTAATATGCCAGTTTAAATGCCAAAGTAGAAAACGATCCACCATATTTATATCTTTACATCTCAAAGCTATTGCATGGTAAAAAAAATTGCATGTTTGTCATATATATATATATATATATATATATATATAAAGATATGTGACGAGAGGGGCGGGGCGGGGCCAAGAGCCGTGGGAACGGAGCGAGGCCGGTGGAGAAAATGCTAATGCACGACACCAATGTAACAACAGTTCGTAGTTCGGGAAGAAGGAGGCTGGAACCGGCGGACATTTAAACAATTTAATAAAATAAACAAACACAAAATGAAAGTAAAGCAGCAGCCCCTCGCGGACGACTGCCGCACACAAAACACAAAATAAAGTCCAGGCCTGGTCCTCTCTCATCCAACACTGTCGTCACTCCTCCTTTTATCCTTCCGGAGCTCCTCCGTGGGACTCGAGACCGGTG